CGCGCAGACCAGTGTTTGAGCCACTGAGCCACACCAGCCAGGGCAGATTTGCCTTTTAATAACTCAGACTATATATGTGTTTCATGTGTCCTATACATGTGTTTGATAGTTTAAAAAAATCATACCCAGCACTAGTGAAGCTGTTATCTCAAACGTCTGCCTGTGCACACAACCCTATAACTCTTGGCTGGGAAGGTGTGTCACACTTCCTGGATGAGGAAGGTGTGAGGAGGAAAAAGCTAAAGCACAGAAGAGGGCTGTCACATTCAGGAGATGACAGATGCCTCTTTTGTTTACCCATCTTTCCAGAAAAGAATCAGAAAGTTTCTATATGTATAGTGAGAGTCGTATTTAGCAAGTTTCAGTGTCTGGCAGGGTTGGCTAAGTGTTCACAGATTGCACGAGCCCAGCAGCCTTACAAACGTTGGTGAACGAAGGTGGTGAGGGGTGGTATGGGGTGCGAAGGGTTAAGAACAATCAGCTCACCTCTTATTAAGTACACAGCCCTTATTAAGGGCTGATGCTTCCCTTTCTTCAGTGTAACCTCTGTAGCACTTGCAGTCCTTACACAGGTAAAATCTTGTGGTCTGCTTTGGATTTCCAAGGTAAAGATAGAAATAACTGTCAGTCTTGTGCATACAACAAGACACAATTTGCAATAACTTTGCCTAAGCCAGCACGGAATACCCCAAAACTGGAGCTAATTGGAATCCTAGCAAGAAGTTCACCACCACCCCAGGGAAGGCCTGAAGACAATACCAAGTCGGAGGGCTGGAGTAGGAATTCAATTATGACTCTCAACTGCAAAACAGCTCTGGAACTCAAACTCAGAGTTCAAAGCTGTATGATAATGCCTTTGGATGATGAGGAGACAGTCCCACTGCTAATAGTTTTATGTTCATTGCCACCACATATTCCATGAAATTCATGTCATAAGTTGTTCTCTCACTTTTTAAATTTTTATAATTTATGTATCCCTGATTTCACTAGGCTACAGCAAGTTGTTAGGTGACACTTTATGACCTTCAGTAAAAATTAAAATTAACTTCTTGACAATGGAATTAATTTCATATTGAGACTTCAATAAGTATTGGTAAGTTATGTTCTTGACTATTATTAATGCTTACACTGCTCTACTTTTTAGCTGTTCAACTGTTTCCACTATAGCTAAAGAACTTTTGAAACGAGGAAACTTGATATGAGGAAGTACTTTGGGGTTGTCCTATATGTATTGACATTTAATAATAATTAATGAATAAATTATATGAAAAGACTTTGTAAATTAACCTCAAGAAAGACCAAATATTTCCCATGTTCAGTCTTCCTATCCATTTCCCAGGAGCAGCAATCAATCAATTGATCTTCCCTGCTGGAAAACCCCCAGCAGAATTCTCCTGTCTTCCGGGATAGAACTGCTTCACACACATTCCCAAACCAAGGACTGATAAGGGGGGAGTAGCCATAATTGCCTTAGACTTGACTTAAACATGTCTTCCTAATATACAGAAGAACTGGGAGTGCTTTCCTACCAGCAAAGAAGGGTTGTAGGATAGACAATCCACATTTCTGAATTAGTTGGTGATTTCCTTGCAATATATTTTATTTCCAGGCTAGAAAGGCCAGCCCTTCACAGAACGGTCTAATGGTCAATGATACCATCACTAATTCCTCTCTCTCTCTCTCTTTTTTAGTGCATCATCTTCCCTCCAGTCCTGGGGTCCCTGGAGCCCATCATGTTTTATTCTTTTTCCTTCTATCAGAACCTCCTCTCAAAGTAAGATCAATTCGGCCATATGGAATTGCAAGTCAGGGTAAGACTTATTACTATCTATAGCAGGCAGAATAATGGCCCTCTAAAAATGTCCATGTTGTAACTGTGAATTTGTTATGTTACATGACAAAGGCTGCAGACTGAACTAAGGTTGTTAAAACTGAAACAGAAACTCAACTCAAAACACAAAAGGACCTGCTTGGCTGGTGTGGTTCCCATTGGTTGTCATCATACAGATCAAAAGGTCACAAGTTCGATTCCCAGTCAGGGCATTTGCCTGAGTTGCAGGTTCCTGGCCCAGTTGGGGCATATATGGAATCAGTGTTTCTCTCCCTCTCTTTCTCCCTCTAAAGTTAAAATTAAAATAAAAACAAAAAGAGACCTATTTGTTCACATAATCAAACTGTGGAAAAGACAGGAATTGAGCTACATCAAGAAGGCCTGGAGATAAGATACCAGTATCATCCTCCCCCCAACCCTGCCCCATCACTGTGCGTTTAATGTATCAATTCTCTTCACTCATATCAGCTTAGTCTCCATAGCAGGGAACTTGCCTACCATGTATCTGGACTGATCTCTGTGGCTGGGGATGAGATGCTGAAATAGCCCAAGTGTAAGTGTTCCCAGGGAGAGAGTTAGTGCATCAGTACAGACATGGTCTTTGGGAGAACAGGGCAGATAGAAACCCTAGCTCAGCGATTTTCAACTGGTATGCCACAAGAATTTTTTAAATTTTTGTTTATTGATGAGAGAGAAATACCAATTTGCTGTTCCACTTAGTTATGTATTCATTGGTTGGTTCTTGTACGTGCCCTAACTGGAGATCGAGCCTGCAACCTTGGTGTATTGGGACAGCACTCTAACCAACTGGACTACCCTGCCAGGGCTATGCCATAAGAATTTTTAAAGCATGCCATACTTGACTATTTAGTCAGGGGCATCGACCTCTTTTCCCTTAGATTGTCAAATAAAAATTAACAATACCCAATGTAATAGTTGTCCAGTATGAATGAATCAAAATTATACATATTTTTTGTCAGAGCAGCAAAAAATATATTTTTGGGTGTGCTGTAAAATTTTAGTGGTTTATGTGTGCTATAAGATGAAAAAGGTTGAAAATCACTACCCTAGCTGCATCTACTATAAAACCTAAAGAATGAAGCTGTATTTATAGAGTTCTAGACATTTTTCAGGCTAACACAACAGGTGTTTTTGGTTGCTTTATGTGGGAGGAGGGCTGGGGGAGGAAAGGGAAACTAGGGAACAGATGTAGCTGATCCAGCACCTAAACTGCATCACATAAAGGGCAATCTCCTTTGCAGGCTGTATTAGTCAGCCTAGACTGCCATAACAAAACACCATGGGCTGCATGTTGAAACTATAGGAATTTTTCTCACGTTCTCATGTGGGAAGTCTGAGATCAGGGTGCCAGCGTAGCCGGGTTCTGGCGAGAGCTCTCTTCCTGGCTTGCAGAAGCCTGCCTTGCCAATGTGTCCCCATAGTGGGGAGAGAGAATGCTCTCTGATTTGTCTTATAAGGATGCTAATACTGCTGGGATCAGGGTCCTACCCTCATGGCCTCATTTCACTTTAATTACTTCCACATGGGCCCTATCTCCAACTATATTTGCATTGGGAGTAAGGGCTTCAACCTATAAATTTCAGGGGACACAATGTTCAGTCCATCACTGCATGTATTGACATAAAGGTGAAATAGAGGCTAATGTGCCTTAAAAAGTGCCCTAGATGTTGATCCTCTATCAGTTAAAGCTAAAATTTAAAAATATGAATTGTGAGAAACAGCAGATCTTAAAATTTGGATACTTAGAGTTCTCTTAAGTAATGCTTAAAATTGCCTCCACAATTTTAATCACTTCGTAAAATAGTGTTTGCCTTGCCACAGCAATGGCTTGCATTCAATTACAGTAAAATAGTGTTCGTTCATACCACAGTGATTTGGAACTTGGGATAATTCTGACATAAATGTTTACCTTCTTTAATCCTTTTTTTTGGGGCGGGGGTGGAGAGAAACATCAATTTGTTGTTATACTTACTTAGGCATCATTGGTTGATTCTTGTATGTGCCCTGATGGGGGAATCAATCCCACCAACCTGGCTTATCAGATAGATGCTCTTACCAACTGAGCCACATGGCCAGGGCCCTTAATATTTTCTTGAGTGCACAAATCAATAGCAGAAAGAATTTTACAGAAAATCAGAGCTGCAAATTAAATACCTCAGATCAACAGGAACAAGTATAAAAGGCACATGGACAAAAACTGGGGGGGGGGTGGAAATGGGACGGAGGTGGAGACAGTGGGGGTTGGCTGGGATGGGAGTAAAAGACAGAAAACTGTACTTGAACAACAACCAAAATAAAAATAAAAAATTAAAAAATAAATGTTAGATTAATAAATAAAAAAACACCTCAGATCACAAACTATTTTCAAGATCCTCCAAGCACCTCTGAATACTTTTCTGTAAAAATAATACCATCATCCTTCAAAAAAAAGTATGCTCTCAATAAAATTTTTAAAAATACATTTTAAGAATTAAAGAAAAAGTACACTGGAGCCCAGCTGGGGTGGCTCAGTGGGTTAAGCATCATCCCAGACTGAAAGGTTGCAGGTTTGATTCCTGGTTGGGACACATGCCTGGGTTGTGGGCCAGGTCCACAGTTGGGGGTGTGGAAGAGGTAACCAATCGATGCTTCTCTCCCTCTCTTTCCCCTTCCCTTGCCCTCTCTCTAAAAATAAATAAATAAAATCTTTTTTTAAAAAAAAGAAAGAAAAGTATGCTGGATATACAAATGAAATGCTAAACTTTGAGAATACTAAGAAGAATAAGATGTAATCCATGATCTTAAAATTAGCTAAGAGACATACTATGCATATGTAAATGATGAATCCTTTAAATGTGACAATGGGAGTTTACTGTGGCTGAAACAGCCAGGAAGCATTCCCAGAGGTTGGACTTGAACCAGAATTGTATAGCGTCTACACAAGCTGAAAGGAAGGAGGTAAGAGCAACTGTTCTCATCTGTCCCATAAACCAGGTCTCTAAAGCATGACCAGGCAACACATTGGCCCAGCATTAATTGCTTAATGTTCTTGAGAGCAATAAAGTAGTCTGAATTCAGTTATAGGTTGAAATAGTCTATAATTCAGTTGTTTCACTAACTCAAACTGTCCCTCAACTCAACTGGTGCAAATTCAAAGTTTTACCACATATACAGTGATTGACTTATTTTTATTGAAAATACAAAGTAGTATTAGAGAAAGGCATTGAAATAAATTAAAAATCATTCCACATCCCCCTACACTAACACAATGAATTTCAGTTTTGCATATTATCTCCCACATGCATAAACATTTTCAAAGTCACAATCATAGTGTGCATACTATTTTACATTGTGCTTATCTTACTTACTGTATTACAGACACATCCATATTTCTACAGTCTTCCAAATAATTATTTTAATGGCAGTATAACATTTCACTATTTTTATTAGCCCACTTTCTCCTCTGACATGTATATTATTTCCAATTTTTTTTGTTATAATACAAACAAACATTCTCATGAATTTACCTTTTTTGTTTGTTTGTTTTGTTTTGATAGTATTCTTTAGGAGTAGAGTTTATGGGCAAAGGAATGGTCTTGTTTTCTCTTTAAACATATGCGCCCTGACCAGGATTGAACCTACAATCCAGGTACATGCCCTGACCAGAAACCAAACCTCCAACTTTTTGGTATATATGATAATGCTCCAATTAACTGAGCCACACTGGCCAGAGCGATGCAGTCATTTTTAAGGCTCTTTCTTTGCAGTACCATGTTGCAGTCGCAAGAATTGCACCTATTTAAAATGTCATCTAAAGTGAATGCATTAAACAGTTTCTAAAATTTTAAAAAAGCATTAATTTTAAACTTCTGTATTTAAATTTTAAAATAATAGCTATCTCTTTTTTAAAAAAAGGGTGTGGATAGATGGTTTAACAGATTACTAAAAGTTTAGAGGAGTTAACTGGAGCAATGCTTCCCAACTTTTCTCAGGTTATGGCACACACTGACAGTCATAAAAATGGGCATAGGTGTTTCTGGCCCAGAAGCTCCAGCCACCCAGGCCACCTCTGACTACCCCAAGGGTTATAAGGATCCCTATCTAGGCACCCAAAGGACCCAAAGTGCCAGTGTGCGTGGGTTGGGAACCTCTTAATTGAGGGGAGCTTAAGTGACTCAGTCCAAGTCACAAAATCTTGTTAGTGGCCGAGCTGGAAAATGAATGCAAACATCTTCTCATCAGGGTATTTTCTACTGTATCATAACTGTTCTACCTGCTTTCTGGCTTTATGCAGATGTGTCTACATTTATGAATAAAGAGGACTTTCTAACATGCTTAAACTAAAAATACCTAATTGAGTAATTTACAACAAAGCTAAAAATTAAAAATAATTCTTATCATCAGCAAATGTTTGACTACTTTCTCTGACATTTTTCAGATCTGTCATTCTTTTACTTTGTAAACTCTCAAAAGTACTTATACTTTGCACAGTATTTACTCTCAATAGTAATAATCATTTGCACAGTATCTTGTATATCTGTTAGTCAGTAAATAAAGGATAACAATAAATTATACACACAAGGGGAAAAACTAAACTTAAATCTACACTCTAAATAATCCTAAAGGTGATTTAAAAAAGTTTTAGTGTTGATTTTGTAGAGGTAGAGAAGATTCCCTCCTTAAATTTCAAATTCCACACAGCTAAATGGAACCTTAATGTGCACTGTCTATTACATTGCAGGGTCATAAGAGACATTTCATTCCAAAGAATAATTCTGACCTATACCCAGTGTTCGTGCTACCAGGAGAAAAAAATCACTACAAAGGCATTTCACATTTACCAAGCATCCAATATTCCAGACAATCTTCGAAAAGCAGAGATTTTAAGATGTTAACCTCACTGATGCAACTGTAAATATATATATACACCAGATTTCTCTGGATCATTAATCACTGGGTTAGGGTGTAGAGTGGGGTTTAGGAATGAGAATTTACCTGTTATGTGCCAGGCCACAAGAACAGGCAAGGGACTCTAAACCGTGCATTTTTTTACTATACCCCAAAACAGTGATTACTTGGCCATTTCTACAAAGTCAGTCAGACATTGTACACACAAACGCATCCATGGGACCGCATGGCACTTGGAAGATTACCCACTATCTCCCACTTATTAAGATCTGGGTCATACTTCTCAATGCTCTGAAGGTATGTTCCCTTCGAATAGGAATATCCCCCAGTGACATAAATACACCCATTCATGATGACAGCACCACACTCCATCCTTCTTTCCATCATGGGTGCTATCTCTCTCCACTCATTTTGTTCAGGGTCATAGCATTCCGTGATTGTCGTCTGTCCACCAACTAGATAGAGCTTACTTTCAAATGGAACTGAACACAATCCATATTCTGTTAGAAAGAAAAAAAGCAAATTTTATTAGGACAACAGACAAAAGAGATACCTTAGGGTGGTGATGCACTGATCCTTTACAACCGAACATACACAAGTAGAGTGAGTAGTCAGGACACTCTGATTCCGCACACATAACCACACCACTGAGCCATGAAACCCATTGCCGGTCCCCTGCCATTCTCCCTCAGTCAACACTCGGCTGCTTTTTAGACCACTACTCTTCTGAAAACTCTCCAGCACACACACCTTTTATTCTACACCCATGTGTAAAAGATGGCAGCAGTAGCATCCCTCTGACATGAAGACATTCTAGGCAGCTGGTGTAGGTCCCTTCGGGTCTTAGCTGCTATCCCTGTAACCAGTGACAGGCGATCTGTAGTGTCTGTTGCCACAGCTGTCACACAGATTACCTTGCTTGTCAAGTCTCACACTGCTGGCCAAGTTGAGGACCCAAGCAGTTAGAAAAAAACACAACCAGATCAGTGGGGAACTACAGTCTATCATCTGAAGAAGCTGGGAAAGATTGTCAAAGGCAGAGGGCTGCTGGGTGAGGTCTGGGTCCTAAGGCTCAGTGTTTGCCTTCTGGCTGTTTTAATTTTTCCCATTATTTATCTCCCCCATACATCCAAACCTGCTGGCTCTTCAAAGCACCAGAATCTTTTGTAACTTCACTTCCACGCCTTCCTTGCCAGGGCTGTGCCCGGGGCAAGGCAAGTGAGGCGCTAGGTATAAAAACATAGGAAGGCTCTCTCTCTGAGCGGTTTCCTCAATTTTGTGCCTCAAGAGTCTTCTTCCCTTCCTCACCCTAGTCCCAGCCCAGCGTTTCCTCCACGCCTCCACTTCCAGCATCACTATTCGCCGTGAGTTCCTTCTTTGGGAATATCAACCATAAAATCACACTTCTAGCTGCAGACCTGAGAAAAGAGCAGGATTTGTCAGAGGCACTAATATCACAGCAAATCAATGAAGATTTACTTCGTTTATGTGTCATTGTTTGCCATCACTGAACTGTTCTTTCCAGCTGGAAGTCTCGTCTTTTTCCAGGGCTTTCCATAGCGGCCATCTTCTTGCCATTCAGGTCTCATCCTACTGTCATCCCCTCTGAGGGACCTTCTCTGAATATCTAACCTGAAGCGGCTAGCTAGGCATCTCTACCACATTACCCTATTTTAATTCTCTTCACAGCGCTGTTTATCCCCAGGTGTGTTTGTTTACTGGCTCTCTCCCCCTGTTAACAGTGCAGAAACTGAGTCCTGCCCTCTGCCCCACTCCCCACCTTGTAAGGACCCAATAAATCTTTGCCGGATCAATGAATAAATTGTATCTTATACCCTCTGCGCCTAATATGCACTCCCATTATTTTGTGGAAGAAAAGCTTTATAAGCACCTCTTTAGAAAGAATGTAAGATCAGAAATGTAATTTCCCCTTTAAGAATGGAAGACAAATTCTTATCAGTAAAGTTCTTGCTATCTAGCTTTTGAGGGTTAAAAAACTCTCAGAAGATGGGCATTTCTGCTTTGAATCCCCATTCTGTTGTTTCCAAGTATCTGATGAGAAAATAAGAATTCTCCCACCTTGAATAAATCCATTGGTTACTTTCCAGTTACATATATGTAGAATTTCTATAGCATTTAGTTCTTTAAGATACTTGTGCAACATTGTTTATATAAATTATATGAATTATTCCGTCAAATGTTTATTGTGAAAATTCATGGTAATGCAAAAATTTTATGAGTTGATGTGATTCAACAATGAGTTTCGAGTTTCCTAGGCTTTTTTAAATTCAAAGTTTACCCCCAAATCCTCAATTTGAGATTCTTTTGTGAAAAGAAGTATCTCAACATTCCTATATCAGTAAAAATGTTTCAAATAAAGTGATTCCTGAGCATTTCTCCCGTTAGCCAAATACAACTTAACGTTCTATGACTATTCACAGAAACTGTTTCTCCTTCAGCTGTAACTGCCTTTTTTCTTGTTGGTCGCTCTGTGAAGTTACTGAGGCTAGCGGACTGGATCTGGTTAATTGAGCTCCTCGCAATGTACCTAGCACGTAGAAAGCACTCAGCAAACATCTGTTGGACAAATGAGTGAAAGAACAATTTGAAACCAACATGGGAATGGCACCACCTCTCATGGCTCTGAGCTTACACATATATTCACTACAAATTCATGGCACTCTGTAATCAGTATTACATGAGTGACATGAAGAAACCCACACAGGGATTTACAGACCACCACAATATTTTCATGTATTAAATATCCACTGAAATGATTAAAAAACTTTTTCTTAAGATTTTTCTGACTGACAAACTCTGTAAAGCTTATCTAATGTAACTTCCTTATTTTACAGGAAAGTAAGAACCTAGAGCTTAAGCTGTTGCCCAGTCCGAGGCAAGTAAGTAAAAGGGGGAGCCAGGAGAGAGCTCTCTTCCCACAGGACACAGCGCTCCCCAGGTGTTTCTCCTTTATCACTTACAGCTAGCTTTTCCCCTGTGCTCCGTGCTCTTCTTCCGCAGCTCACCCCTTAACTCACACTGTTTCCCAAGGTTCTTCCCACGGCTGTTCTTGGTCTCACCTTCCCGAGACACCTCAATCATCCCCACGCCCGCAGCCACCATCTCCAAGCAAACCACCCCCAGATCTAGGTTGGGCTGCGTTCTTCCTCCTGAGTTGCACACCTGCAACTCCTATTGCTTTCTGGACCGCTCCTCTAGGTTGTCCAATTAGTTTTTCACATTTGTCTATAAAACTGAGCTCATCATCTCTCCACTTCTCCCTTCTTATTGGCTGCTCCTTCAATGCTCCCTGTCCTCCCAGTCAACCAGCCAGAGACCTTGGAATGAACTGTCAACTCCTTTCTCTCTCTCATCTCCTGTATCTAACCATTCAAGATCGCAATCTCTACCAATTCAATCAATGTTGACTCTATAACATTCCTCACATCCGCCCGTTTTCCACTCCTACCACTTCAGGCTTTCAGCATTTCTTACCTGGTTTATTACCAATAGTTTTAGTAGATCTTGCTGCTGTCTTTTCTCCCAATCTACTCTAAAAGGAGCTCTCTTCTTAAAGCTAGAACTGATCACACTTCGTTCTCTTGCTTTGAAATCTCTGACAGTTCTCCATTTTAAAAACTCATCTGCCTGCCATTCAAAGCCCTCCATGATATGCACCTCAGTTGAACTCTCCCATCTAGAGTCTCATCCTATCTTCTTATATCATCTCATTCATATACATCTACTCCCAGGTACTGAAATAAACCTGGAACTTTCCCTTCTGCCTTCTTTCATTGGCTATCTTTCCGCCAGAAAACCATTTCTCAAAAACTACCTTCCTTAACTGAGCCATTCTTTAAGGCCTAAATCATAACTACCTACTCCTGGAGGCTTCTAGGTTCTCCTTAATTAGACTTAAGCTCTCTCTATCCTCAGTTTCAATAGCACGTATTTGTAAGATTCTTGTGTTCCCAATTATGAATGTGTATTTGCTACTAGAGTCTGAGTTCCTATGGTAGTAAAGACTATTACTGCCCTGGCTGGTGTGGCAGAGTGGATTGATCACCTGCCTGGGAACCACAGGATCACTGGTTCAATTCCCAGTCAGGGCACATGCCTGGGTTGCAGGCCAGGTCCCCAGTAGGGGGTGCATGAGAGGTATCCACACACTGATGTTACTTTCTATCTCTTTTTCTCTCCCTTCCCTTCTGTCTAAAAATAAAATAAATACAATCTTTTTTTAAAAAAAAGACTATCACTTAACTATATCTGTATCTTTTTTAAATTTTTTTTAATTTACTAATTTTAGAGAGAGAAGAGGGAAGGGAGAGCAAGAGAAACATCAATCTGTTGTCCCACTTATTTATGCATTCATTGGTTGATTCTTGTATGTGCCCTGCCCAGGGATCAAACCTGCAACCTTGGCATATCGGGATGACGCTCTAACCAACTGAGCTACCAGACCAGGTCCACCTTTGCATCTTACATAATAACTAGAATTCATTTTTCCCAAGGTAAGATCTCAATAAATATTATCTTCAGTTTAATGGAATTATAGTCCCCTGTTTTTCAACTATACAAAACTTAAAGGCATTAAGTAAAAAAGATAACCCTTATATTGTTTTAAAAATAAGTCATTTATTTGTATTCTAAGCCATTTATCCATTCAGTAAACTCAACACTGACATTTTATGTTCTTCAGGAGATGCTCCTAAAAAGCTAAGAAGCACACCTTGCAATAACTCTGAGAGTGTAGATCCAAATGCCTCAGGGACGAGGAGTCAACAGACTAGGGAATGAAGCGGCCTAGGGGTGAAACCAGCGAAGGGCACGGCCCCCAGGCCTGTGACATGATGAGAACGGGAGTGACTGTGGTGGCCTGGAGTACACACCATCTCATCTACAGGCCACAACCACTACCTGGCCCCTGTGACTGCTGTCAGGGAAGAATGTGATCCCAGGTCCCCAGGTCTGCCAATTTCTCTAAGGCCAGAAATCATGATTTTTATTGGAAATCTCCTGAATTTTAACTATTGGTAACAAGTCCCTTAAAAAATATTTTAAACACTGCACAAACTAAACAGAAGATACCGTGCAGGGTGCTAATTTGATGACTTTGTTTCCTTTATTACTTCAGAGAAAAGTCCAATGTAAATTAAAACTCTATAAGTGGATTTATCCTGTAATTTAATACTGTAATACTGATTTATACTGTAATTTAATATTTATTTCTGATTGATTTTTCCATTTGTCATACTTTGGCTTAAATCTCATTGACTTTTAGACTCTCTTTCAAGCAGTAAACAAGTTATATGTAATTTGAACATGCTATGGGATATTTTTAAAAGATTTTATTTATTGTTAGAGAGAGGGGAAGGGAGGGAGAAAGAAAGGGAGAGACACATGGATGTGAGAGAGACACATCACTCAGTTGCCTTGGGGACAAGGCTGCAACCCAGGCATGTGCCCTGAGAGGGAATCAACTGGTGACCTTCTCTTTGCAGAACGACGCCCAGCCAACTGAGCCCCGCTGGCCAGGGAAGGATATTTATTTGTAAAAGAACCCCTTTATGAAATATATTTTACTTACAATGTAAATAACTCCCCTCTATTTTGTTAGTCTGACTTCTCCTACACTGGATTTTCTTTGTAAAGCTAAATCATGGTTCATACCTAACTCAGAAGGCTCAGTGAGGCTCTAAGGAGACAACAGCCCAGTTGTTCCGAGTGCAGTGTTCCCAGGCAGATGGCCTGGGTTTAAACCCTTAACAAGCACTGGCTGGCTGATCTGGGGCTATTTATTCACTATCTGCATGCCTCACAGGATTGCTGTGAGGTTTGAATAAATGAATACAAGTAAAACTACTAGAATAGTTAGTGCCTGGCACATAACTGCTGAATAAATGTTTGCTATTACTCAATGTGAGCTGTTATTATTTTCCATTATAACTTCAATGGTCAAACGGAAAGTGGTGGGAGTTGGAATAACACACTTGGGCTACTAGGAAAGACAGCCTAGCCAGCCCACGCTGTCTTCAGAGCCAGGACAGCCTGCGCTGCAGTCTCTTTTCATGCAAAGCCCATGTCCTATGGAGATGCAGCACCTGGTTCGGGTGTGCTCTACCTGGACTGTGAGATGACACGCATGACAAATGGGCATTAGTAGCTGCGCTGGTCAAAACCAGGAGAGTTTGCTCCTGAAGGAGAGGCAGATTGCTGAGTAGTTACAGCACTGTTTATGTAGTCAGACTGCCTGAACTGAATCCTGGTCTGCACTTTTAGACTGTGTGACCTTGGCAAGGTTACTTATCCTTTCTAAGCCTCCACTTCCAAATATGTAACAGGGGTAAACAACACCTACTGACAGGGTTATACTTAGAGTTTAAGGTAACATTACAAGCAAAGTGCTTAGTCAATACTTAGCCTATGAAAAGTGCTCCAGGTTAGCTGTTACTCCTACTCTTGGATGGTTCAAGCTTGTGAATTTTAGTTATGCTCTCTAGTAACCCACAGAGAAGCCTGATGCCATAAGGAAAATGACTCAAAGTAATGTGGTGATTTGGTGATATGAATCTTCCCTAATGAAAAACTGAAACATAAGGAATAACTGTAACAGGATGCAGCTTATGCTTTCCCGGAGCTCTTCAAGGAGACATGCCAAAAAACAAGACACCACAGAAAGCAGGTTATTCCCAGTGAGCAGACAACACGTCTCCTTTATGATTGTTAAAGTTAAGGCCAACATAAGGCTCTGCACATTGTAGGAGTGAGTACTTCCTAGTTACTGAAACCCAAACAGAGCATGCTTCTGAAAGAGAAAACCATCTCCTGCTAAACTGCATCAGTAGGTGCCCTCCCCAACTATTGGATAGACCAGTGCTTCCCATCTATCTATAAAAACTGTTTTATATAATGCAAGTAAATGAAAGAAAGCGCATAACAAAGGAATAGGAAATAAAAAAAAGAATCTAAGTGAAAACATTTTTTTAAAGAAACCACTTCTAGCCCTGGCTGGCGTAGCTCAGTGGATTGAGCGCAGGCTGCAAACCCAAGTGTCACAGGTTTGATTCCCAGCCAGGACACATGCCTGGGTTGTAGGCCACAGCCCCCAGCAACCACACATTGATGTTTCTCTCTCTCTCTTTCTCCCTCCCTTCCCTCTCTAAAAATGAATAAAATCTTAAAAAAAAAGAAACCACTTCTTTTAATCACAACAGCTTAAAATGTATGTTGTGTAAAGACATGAGGGAAATAATTTGCAGGCATGACCTAATCTGAATAACGTAAACTATGGTTATTGTTCCATGGACGCATGAATATTTTGAGCCTTTTCTATTTCCAGCCCATTTTTAGCCATCTCTGCAATCATATTGATAAGCTGTGTCACAACACGTGCTGTGAAGACAGTGTGTTGTTACCTGGGTGTGGACTGGAGGTGATGAGGCTCCACTCGTTGATGTCTGAATTGTAGCTCTGGACCTTGTCATAGGTGCAGCTTCCTCTGTAGCCACAGTGTCCGCCAATGACGTAGATAACTTCATGTAGGACACAGGCAGTAGCATTTCCCACGCCTGCGTGTTAATTAAAATCACAGCTTCAGATTGATCTTTCACTCTGCTTTGCAATGAATATTGTATTGTTTTTGTTATTACTGTTTAGTAGATGTAAGGCACTGTGCTAGGTGCGATGAGGGATGGAAGAATGAAAAAGAAAGTCTCCCTGCACTCTTTTAAAAGAGGATGAGCCCTGGCTGGCATAGCTCAGTGGATTGAGTGCGGGCTGCAAACCAAAGTGTCGCAGGTTCGATTCCCAGCCAGGGCACATGCCTGGGTTGCAGGCCATAACCCCCAGCAACTGCACATTGATGTTTCTCTCTCTCTCTCTCTCCCCCCCTTCCTTCCCTCTCTAAAAATAAATAAATAAAATCTTTTAAAAAAAATAGAGGATGAGACATTTACACAAATCGCTGTTACATAGGGTACAGCACTACCGTGGATGTGCAGAGGAAGGTGTTGCTTTTGACTAGGAAAATCATGCAAGAGGTGGCAAAAGTTGACTTGGGCCTTAGCATGTAGGACTTTGGCAGGGAGAGGTGAGAGGAAGCCACCCTGAGTGAGGGCAGGGTAAGTGCAAAGGCTTCCTGGCCAATTCAAGTAGCTGTTTTGATTTTGCCACCCTGGGTTGTCCTGTGGAAATTAACACTGGCAAGGTGAGACAGAACCATGTGGCAAAGTATCCTGATGCCCGACTAAGAAATCTGGACTTAATTCAGCAGGAATTTTAAAGGTTTTTAAACAAAGGAAGGGAGGGACTACAGAGGCAGGAGGGTAGAACGGGTCCAGGTGCAGAGTGTTCAGTGCCTGAATTAGAAGGGTCGTGGGTACAAGGGGGAGATGCACGGAGTCTGGAGAGACCGGTAAAACAGAAGGGCCTTGACGGCTGACTGAGCTGGAGACAAGATGGATTCTCGAGTCCTGATCTTAGAAAACTGGGAAACACTCATGCCACAGAAAAATGAGGAGGAAGAGAAAATGGTTTCAGCAGGGGACAAGAATGATGATGAGGCTCATTTAATTGAAATGTCAGTTTAGTCTTCCAACCACCTTTTACTTAGCACTCTTACACTGTGGGTTCAGTTCAATTTCCTTGTTTATTTCTACTCCAAAACAAAAGTGAGTTCATAAGCAGGGCAGTTATGATGGGGGGGAGGGGAGGAGTTCCTAAACAGCTATCTATTTATTTATTCTCTGTAGCTCCCTCAACCAAAAAAGGAAATAAAATTGAAATTTGACTCTACCCAATTTAAGTTCTCATTACCAGGAAAAGTAACTAGTTCACTTCAAGGCTACAAAGCAAAACAGACTTGGAAACATAATGTTATCCTTTCAACATGAAAACGGGAAACTAAGAGTTCAGCATGAGTCTGATCATCAGAACTAGCCACAGGTGCACATAACTGACAAAGTGTTACCATTCCTGACATGATTAGATGTAACCAGGAATCAAACCTTCAGGTTAAAGTATAAATCTTTGAAATTTCAGACCCAGCTGTTAGGTGGGGGAGAATTTTGGCAAATGAGGGTCTCCCATTGCTCTCAAGGCTCAGTCAAGAACACATTCGGCTTCCTTTCACAGTGGATATACCATTGCAGCATTTTATTTTCAGCAACCATTGCTTCAAATGATTTAACAAAATTTTAGTAAAGTAATACATTTTCATCCTCAAAAAAATATACTGTTAGCTACTAAACCACTGAAACTTATCTCATCATTAAGAAACAGAGGTTGCCCTGACTGGTGTGGCTCAGCTGGTTGAATCATCTTCTCGTAGACTGAAAGGTCATGAGTTCGATTCCCAGTCAGGGCACATGATCATGCTGCAGGTTTGGTCCCTGGTTGGGGTGCATATGCGAGGCAAAAGATCAATGTTTCTCACATCAATGTTTCTCTTTCTCTCTCTGTCTCCCTTCCTCTCTCTCTAAAAGCAATGACCTTGGGTGAGGATGAAAGAAAAAACGAAGGAAGAAAGGAATGAAGGAAGAAAGGAAGGAAGGTAGCAAGGAAGCAAGGAAAGAAACAAGCAGAGGCAGCCCTGGCCTGGTAGCTCAATGGGTTGGGGCATCATTCCATACACCAAAAGTTTGCGGGTTCAATTCCTGGTCATGGCACATACCTAGGTTGCAGGTTTGTAAAAGAGACAGACAGGACACTGAGAACCTCCTTGGACATGGGACTGGGAATCAGTAAGTGGAAGTCATGTTCAGGTAGAGTAAAAAAAAAGAGCAACAACAGCTGTGGGCTTTAAGCTACCTTCTCCCACCCTACCAACCAACCACTACCGAGCCTTGGGGCACTCAGAAAAGTGGTTATGATTTAATATGAAAAATTCTGCCCTACCAAAGCTGACATGTTCTATGACGTACATGGCAACATGCCTAACACCGAGTACTTACCACTGTTTTGCACACTTCACATGCATAAATTCATTTAATCCTCTCAAAACCCTCTACTACTTAATGTCACCCCCATTGCACGGATGGCAAAACTGGAGCTTGAGGAGAGTAAACAATCCGCCCAAGCTCTCCAGCGAGTGAGAGGGAGGCTGGGATCGGAGCCCAGGCAGCTTGACTTCAGGAGCAGTGTGCCGGGTCACAAGCCTACTCTGCCTGTCAGGCTTCCTGCTTGTCGTCCAGGGAGCGCGCCAGGTCAGATTCCCGGACCAGGTCAGATTCCCACACCCTGGGCAGTGTTAAAAAAGAAACAGAAAGGCCTGGGAAGAAACATTTGGGATAAAATGACACAAATTTGGTAACAATGTACCATTTGTTTTTGTGCAACTTCCCAGCACCAGTGAATAAATGTAATTAAGTACGATTCCAATTTAACTTTTTTGCCCCCAGTGGGAGGGAGGGAGAGCAAGGCTAATCTAGTACCAAACAGCAGAAAATACAGTGTTTATCAGACAGATACTGAGAGCCAATAGTATGCCTGGCTCTGGGGCCACACGAGGGGAGGGTATGGGATCTGCCCCTCTCTTTAACACTATGAGACAAGACTTGAGCCAAAAAAGCAGAGGTTACTTGTCCCTAGTTTTTGAGAGAATGTAATTTGTTACACCCCACAGGGATCAAACCTTTCAAGGTTTTAATGAAAGACCTTTTAAAAGAGAGAAAATCAGATGATGAGAGGAAAAAGCAGAATATTTAAAAGCACAATAAAAAGGGGCCTCAATTTCAGGAGCAAACCAATATAAATAAATAAGCACAAACTAATAAAACTACCCAGCTTTCTCTATTTAGCCTTTGACTTAAATGTAAATTTTTAAGACTTCAGTAAGATCTAGGCTCAAAACAGGTTGTAGAGTAAGAAGAACAAATTATACTGGTTTCCAATGTAAATATTTCTTTTCTAGCCTGAGTAGAGTATTCTAAGCACACAAATCTCAGACAAATTAGGGACTGCTATACTGTATTTTTACTTGGTACATTCTGCAGGATATTATTTGTATAATCCACTATAGTTCCTAGATACCATTCCAAAGTGATAGATTCCTGTTCTAATCTATTAGATTTCTATTAGTTGAGGATAGATTCCTAACCACAAACACCTAAAAACACAGAATAAGCATAACCCACACTTACCTTTAATCATGTTTGCAATGGGAATCCATTTCTCTTTTAATGGATCATAGAACTCAGCCTCTTCTGCTGGAGCCCCTTTTCTGTAACCACCTAAAGCATAGACACAGCCACCTAAGGTGACTGCGCAGTGGTAATACCTGGCATTGAGCATTGGCAAACCTTCTGTCCATTCATCGCTTTCACTGTTATAGATCCACACGGTGTCAAGAGCTTCTATGTTATCTGTCCTATAACCCCCAGTTACATATACGTTGGGTCCCAAACAGGTAACACCATAGCTCTCCCTGGTATAATCTGGTATTTCTGCTCCCTGAATCCAAACATTTGTCAAAGGATCCCATATATGAACCTCTGACAAAGGGTGCCAGTAATAGCCTCCAATGATATACATGGTGGCTGTGGACCTCTGGGAAATCTCTTTATGCATGGGATTCAGGGCATTATATATTAGAGATCGTATCTTATTTTCTGTTAGCAGGCAGCTTCTTTGAAGGCCTAAAGCTGTTTTTAAATACACTGGGTCTATGTCTATGTTGATATAGCTCAGTAGATTGTACAGGCATTCAATTCGATTTTCTACATCATAAGCAGTCCACTTAATTACTGGCTCTATGATGGCTTCTTCTTTCCAAACGCTGAGATTCTTCCTGGACAAGATAAAGACAAACTTTTCAAGGCTGATTTCCAGAAACTCTTCTTGTTGCCATACTTCCTTAAACCTTGAGCACAGAATTCTTTGAGATTCCTTCTCTAGTTCTGGACACATGTGAAATTCTGCAAAGGAGTGCATTCCAATACAGTTATCTATATCCAGGTGCCTTACCAGAAACTGCTCACAAGCTTTCTTTACTGAAAGGAACTGTAGCAGATCTGCTGCTTCAAGCAGGCTTTGAACGTTTCTTTTAGTTATTTCAATTTGGGAAGTGTATGCATAATTGACAAGACCTTCCAAAATATCATGGTGGATACCAGAGATTTTTATTTTATTTTTAAACTTTTCTTTCATGTCAGCTGTGAACATTGCCTTAAAATAATTGCTGCAAGCAGCTAAAACAGCCCGGTGACAATGGAAGATTATGCCTGAAGGACACTGAAGGGTAATATCAGTAAATAATCCATCCAAGTAAAATGTTTTGAATGCATCCAGAAAATCCACTGGATGTGCTGAATCCTTGAAAAGGTAAATATAATCTTCTTGTCCTTTTAGAGCCATGGCTGCAATAAATATGAAATAAACGTGTTTCAATTTTTGCTTGTTACTTCAAATAATCAATACTATCTATTCTAATCATTAGAATGATTGATTACTATCAAATATACTCCAAAACTAGACTAAGCTCAGCATTCTAAATGCAAAATGTGGATGGACTATTTCGTAAATGATGGTCAACTTATATTCGGGGTAGCTCGGGGCCTTCAAGCCCCGGAATTTTTCAACAGTCCTTTCTAGAAAAAAAGTAAGTGTTGATTTCCTACTCCAATTACTCTGTGTCCAGTCGGTCCTGAGTCGGCGGCCCGAGAGGCATCCCACACTTGGCAAACCCAGCGGCCCAGGGGTCACCCGATTCCACCGAAGGGGCCGGCCTCTGTTCGATCCCCATTCAGTCTTTCCCCTTTCAAGAGGCTTCGAGATGCCAAGACAGAGATGAACGAAATATATGGGACTAGAAGTAGTCTCGGAACAGGGAAACCCTGTGTCTTTCCGCCGAAGGAAAAAGATACAGGAAAACCCCGTGGCCGCGGCTCCCCAACTCCAGGCCCCCTCCTCCGCGGTGCCGCAGGGGTTCCCGCCCGTGGACCGCCCCGCCCCGGGGCCTGGAGCGGGGACTGGACTCCGGGGCGCCGCGAGCCTCCCCCCGGGCAAGGTGCCCAGGTCCCACGGTCCCGGGACGCCTCACAGGTGCGGAGAGGGCGCCGCGGGCGGCCCCGTGCTCAGCCCGGCCCCCGCGCCCGCGCAGCCATTGTCTCCGCGCCTCTGCCGCAGGCGGGCTCAGCGCGCGGCGCGGCCTCCCTCTCCCGCTCTCGGTCCGGCTCTCCCACCGCGCGCAGGCACTGGGTTAGTCGCTCACCAACCTCCGGCGGCGGCGGCTTCGGGACGCGGCGCGGGCCGGCGGGTTAGCAGCCAGCGGAGGCAGAGGCGCCTCGGGACCCCCTGACCATCTTTGGAAGAGGCGCGGCTTAGGCTGCCTGCTAGTGCAGCTCCAGCCCACAACGGCTCCTATTTTGGTGCCCCAGCTGCTCCCGCCTCCAAACGTACAGCCCCCCGCGCGCTCCGGAGCTCCCGGCGCGGGGCCACTCGCGGGAACTCCAGGGCGGCGGGGCCGCTCTGCGGGCAGGGGCGGGGCGGGGCGGGGCGGGCCGGGGCGGGCCGGGGCGGGCCGAAGGCGCACGGTTGCAGCCCCTCCCGGCGGTGTCCCCCAAGGCAGGTGGGACAGCTTCCCGGCGGACCCCGCCTGGGCCACCCCCTTTCCCCTCCGCTGGGGTCTGCCTCTCAAGCACATACACCCCTTGAGCATTTGCTCTCTAGACAAACTCTGTAGATCAGAATTAATGGCACAAAGCGAGCTGGGAGGGGGGTGCCCTTTACCCTCCCTTCAGTAGCTCTCGCCAGACCCGGCAACTTACGGGGGAGGAGAAGTGGAGAGGAAAATGTGAAGAGAATGCAACAAAACTGAAGGTGTCGAGGTTGTCTTTAAAATGCCCGAAGTAGCTGCGGTTTTCCTACGAATGCCACCCTGCCCCTAGCAGAACACTCTGGAGGGAGCCCCTGGGGTTGATTTACACCCTGTGTGGGTTAGGTAACCGGGAAGCTTTGAGCAGCTTACACGGAGCAGCCAGGGCCAAGGATTCAGGTTTCCGTACGTAGAGCTGAGCAGCTGGAGTCACCAGTCTTTCTTCCTGGTGACAGCCAGTCCAATCACGTAAAGATAGATATCCATGTGCTACAGAAGGCAGTTCATCTTTAAAAAATTAGATTTAAAAATTTATTTATTGATTTTAGAGAGAGAGGAAGAGACACACAGAGAGAAACATTGATTTGTCGTTCCACTTCATTCACTTATTGGTTGATTCTTATACGTGCCCTGACCAGGGATGGAACCTGCAACCTCGTGTATGGGGAGAACACTCGAACCATCCGAGCTACTTGGCCAGGGCAGAATGTTTATTGTTCCAACAAAAGCCAGTATCAAATATTTTCATTTCTCGTTCATTCTTTTACTTGTAGGATTTTATCAAGTGCCTGATAGGGCTAGGAACTGGTAGTAGAGTGGTGAATACAGCTGTTATGTAGCTGAGAGTCTAGCCATCTTAAGGGAGGAAGGACACTTGGATAAGAGGACCACCAGACACCCAGCGTGTTTCTCAGAGTACTGTCTGAAAGACAGAATATACAAATGAACAATGGCCAGATTGTATATGACAACAGACCTCCAAAAGACATAAGCAGTCCAGGAAGCGAGACCACAACCTCTGCAGCAACTGGAGCAGAACGGCACCATTGGTCAAGACTGCCAACTTCCCTATTTTTACCCCTGCTTCCAACTCAGGACCACCAGAGAAAGCCAAATAGGCTTCTTAAACCAACGACATAACAAAGCTGCTGCTTCTAGCAGGCCCGCCTCCAGATTTCCCAGGCCAGCAATCTCCAATTAGAACAGACCTAAGACCTTCCCCTTTTATTCTCTTATGTAAAACTTTCCCACTCCCCTGCCTGTCTTTGCGCCTCTGCCAAAGGCAAGTGTAGGTGGCTGACTCTCGCTATAGCAAGATCTGAAAAAAAAATAAATACCAGCTGTTTGTCTCATTTGGGTGATTTTAACTTAATTTCACACTAGTTAGGCAGCACCCCACACCCGCTACCCCACATCCACCACCACCACTTTCTTGGGAAAGGAGACCTAGGAATCTGCATTCTCATCAAGGCCATCATGTGATTGTTTTTGTTGTTGCAGTTAGAAGAGTGTATGTTGGACCCAAAATGGAAGAAAAAATAAACATTTAAAATCCCAACATCTGGTAAAGAGTTTAGTGGAGAAGGAAAGTAAATGAGATTTAGTTTCAGTATTAAAAGTTCATCTCTGCCATTTATCTAGCATGTAACTTTAAACAAGTTATTAACCCTCTCTGATCCTTAGTTTTCTGGTCTGTAAAACACCCCCAAAATTCAATACTTTTTCAACCTAACATAAGGTTTTTGGAAAGATAAAATTACAAATGGGAAAGCACTTAGGATGTGGCATATAAATGTTAGCTATTATAATGAAAGGATATTTGCAACCTCAATTTGGAAATTAGCATATTAACATTTCTTCAAAAATTTATGAACTTTGTAGTTAATTGTAAGTGTGGAATTTGTCTTGTCATTCAAGGACAAGATTGTGACTGAAGATAAGGCATTCTTTCCATGTTTATCACTGAAGTGTGGTGATGGCCGTTTGTGGCTATGATGACGTTTGATGTGCAGAAAGTACTATAAGTTCTGGCTAACTCAGAGTAGGGGCTTCTGGAATCATAGCTACATGTGATAAATAATTCTTGAATAATAGAATTCACTGTTTTCATTTGTGCAGAGTTATTTCAGATTGCTGCAGAGACCGATTAAAACTTTTGCTTCCTTTGCCTAATGTTGCCTAGTTGTGAATTTATTGCTTCATAGTGTATATCCGTTGTATGTCAACTTTTTAAAAAGACCCCCCAAATGAATATCTGTATACATTAGACTGCTTCAACTTGCCGAGAGAAGAGCAGGTCCTCAAGGGTATTGCCAGCGGCTCCTCCTTCCCACATGCTTTATTAGAGAGACCATTGCAAATGCTAATATATTTGATGCACTCAGAAACATAAAATTAGCATTCATAAGTTAAATAAATTAATGACACTGTTCAAGAAAACAACTGTGCCATCTGTGAATCCAAGTCTTAAGTAGATAAAACATAAGCAACTCTTGGCAGATATTAAGCTTGGCGTGGAGTTAGATGCTATTTGACATCACACTTGGCTTTTCAAAAGACTCTTCAGTTTCTAAAAATAACAATTTTATTCATTTGTTCATTGTTTTTAACTGATTAGTACAGCTGTGTCTTTAAATGTTTGATATGCTAATTGTGTATAATTATCGGTGTGTGTAAATGACAGATACATACAGGAAATTTTGTATGCTTCATTTACATACTGAATTAAACAAGTTGCTGTTAAGTAAAAAAATAGTGAGTATAATTTATAAGGCCACAACATACAGCTGTGTAGGTCATGCACGGCACAACTCCAGCTCACTCCACTCAAGCAGAGTGCAATATGAACTCCAAACAGTACACAACCAGCACAGGTATATGTGGCCGTCCGGGAGCTGATATGTCCTGGAAAAGCCTTTTTAGTATGCTTCCTGGAAAATTTTCATTTTTTAAAATATAAATGAGTCTAGTACCCTGATGCGGACTCTGGCCAGTGGGGTCCATGTGTTGCGGCTGTGATGAACAAATTCACTCGGACTACAGAAGTTCTGTGGAGAAAAAGGGACAGCATGGCTGATCTCTAAGTGAGAGAGAGGGCCCCGACCCCTGCGTGGACAGGCTTTTTCTTTTCTGGGTATATCATATGGAGGATGGTCCTCATTTACTATGCACAGGTTTGCTTTAGGTGATTACCTTTTACAGATAACAAAGGAAAGGATGTTGCTAATTACTTCAAAGAAAGGATGTTTGCAAATCAAGGGGCAACGTAGTAGAACTGGTTACACTCCATACTTGGGAGGTTTAGCACAGATTTTAGGAAGTTACTTTAAATATATGCAGTAAATATTCGCTGCCTCAATTCAGGGTGAGGGAGTTTTAGCAAAAAGCAAGCCTTACAGCAGCATAGGTACAATGCAGGCCTGATTCCTCACGGGAAAACCGATCCATGGGCTCAGGTCCTGTGTGCTCACTCCCCACCAGTTTTCTGAATCAGGGGCTGGGCTACATTCACCATGCCATGCAGATAGTTTCCCTATATTACCCACTTGGCACCATGCATAGTTATTACAATATCATTGGCTATATTCCCTATGCTATACTCTACATTCCCATAACTATTTAGTAACTACCAACTTGTACTTCTTAATCCCTTTGCCTTTATCACTCAGCCCCCCAAACATTCTCCCCACAGCATCCATCAGGCTGTTCTCTGAATCTACGAGTCTATTTCTGTTTTGTCATTTATTTTGTACCTTAGATTCCACATACAAGTGAAATCATATGGTATTTGTCCATAATACCCTCTAGGCCCACCCATGTTGTTGTAAATAATAAGATTTCATTCTTTTTTAATGGTCAAGTAATATTCTATTGTGATATGTATCAATTCTTTATCCAATCATGTATTGAGGACCACATAGGTTGCTTCCATATCTTGGGTATTGAAAATAATGCTGCAATGAACATAGGGGTGCAGGTATCTTTTCAAAATAGTGTTTTGGATTTCTTTGGTTAAATGCCCAGAAGTGGAATTGTTCAGTCATAAGGTAGCTCTATTTTTAATTTTTTGAGGAACCTCCATATTGCTTTTCATGGTGGCTATACCAATTTGCAATCTCACCAACAGTACATGAGCGTTCTCTTTCCTCCACATCCTCACTGCCACTTGTTGTTTGTGGATTTATTGATAGCCATTCAGATAGGTATGAGGTGATATCGCATTATATTTTTAATTTGCATTTCTCTGATTATTAGTGATGTTGAGCAATTTTCATATGTTTTTTGGCCATCTGTATGTGCTCTTTGTGAAGTGCCTATTCAGATCCTCTGCCCACTTTTCAATTGGATTGTGTTTTTGGTGTTGAATTGTATGAGTTCTTCATAAATTTTAGATATTAACCTCTTGTCAGATATATCATTGGCAAATATTTTCTTCCATTCAGTAGGTTATCTTTTTGTGTTGTTGATGGTTTCCTTTGTTGTGCAAAACTTTTAGTTTGATGTAGTCCCATTTGTTCATTTTTTTTTGTTTCCCTTGACTTGAGTAAATATATAAGAAAAAAATACTACTAAGAGCAATGCTAGAGAGTTTACTGCTTATGTTTTCTTTCAGGAGTTTTATAGTGTTGGGTCTTACATTTAAGTCTATAATCCATTTTGAATTTATTATTGTATATGATGTAAGACAGTAGTCCAATTTCATTTTTTGCATGTATCTGTCCAATTTTCCCAACACCATTGATTTAATATACTGTCTTTACCCCATTGTACAGTATGTTCTTGCATACTTTGTCATATATTAATTGACCACATAGGCACCGGTTTATTTCTGGGCTCTCTATTCTGTTCCATTGATCTATGTATCTGTGTTTAT